GTTTCCTACCAGTTTGAAGGAGCCGAAGAGCTTATCCATAGCCTGCACGCGCTGTTTGGTCTCTTGGCGACGGCTGATACCCCGCGGTATTGTCCCCAAGCCACGGGTTTTGGCCGGCAACTGTGCACTGCTGCGGGTACAGACAGTGCCCATGTCCTTTCTATTGCTCTGTCCATGGTCTCGGCCCTGCAGTCTGGCCGCTCCACGTTAGCAATTGCAGGTGTTTTCGGGGCGGAAAAAACCAGATCACTTACCTTTCTGCTGGCTTGGTTTGCTCTCACTACCAACTTACGGTTTGGAGTGGCCCATAAAGAAAATCCAGCCGGACGGGCCATCACTAAATTGCTAAGTTCCTTCGACCTCAATGAGGACCAACAAACCCTCTTCATCAGGCCGGTAGGCAAGGAAGAGGCAACCGCCAACACTGCCAGCACCAAATATGACAAGGCAATGTTCCATAGTACCGGCCTCAAACCAGGGGCAAAAGTAGTAGTCACCACTACTGGACTCATTTGGGAGCAAAAAGGGCAGGTGCATTCTCCCCTCAGAGTCCATATGGAAAGCCTGGATGTTCTTGTCAGTGAGGAGGCCCAGCAAGACATGGACCTCAAGTCTGCTTTTGTCCCAGCCGTCCCGCGGCAACCGTTCTTCCGCATCCTGCTTGGAGACCCCCGGCAAAGCCCTGGTTGAGGACAACCTAAGGGAGCATCGCACCCTTCTGCTCAAAGCCCCAATTGGCCTCCGGGCTGAGCATAGGTGGATCATGCCGCAAGAGCTGCCCAAGATTGCCTGTAGTCTGCTTAAAGAAAGTGGCGAAATCTCCCTGCAAGAACTCAGCACCTTTCGAGGATGCCATTTGCTTAACAGCATAGCGGTGCCAGGATGTCTTGAGTTTGGATACAAAGCTTTTGCAGACTGTTGCTCTCATGCCAATGGACGAGGAGTCAACCATCTTAGAAGCGCCACCAAGCTTGGGCATTACCGTTTCGTTGACTGCATCAACCTAGCTGCCATCACAATCCTCTCGGATGTGTATAACATAGGGGAGCCAATGATAGAGCCAGGTAAAGAACTGCCGACGGGGTGCTTCAGCTTCACAGGAATAAAAGAGCTTCAGGTGCCCCGAGACTTCTCCGTGCTAGGTGCCCATACCTCGGTGGACATCTCGGACACCAGCGTAACTGACATTCGAGAGTTCACTTTTGTGCACTGCATCAGGCTCCAAGTAGTCCGGCTTCCGTACACCGTACATACTATTCATGTGAAGGCCTTCATGAATTGTGCTGCGTTGCAGGATCTGGCCATCCCACCCTCAATGCACTATATTGCTAGTAGGGCCTTCCTCGACTGCACGGTATTAAGGAGAGTCACGAAAATGCCAGGCCAAAGAACTACCTGGAGAGGGACGTACGCTGAGGAGAATGCATTCGCGCTCTGCCCTGCGATGCGATGGCCGCAGTGGTTGCGCATGATCCCAGATCTAGGCTGCGAGACGGACTTGGCTTAGGCCCATAGGAGCCGTGTTGCCGAGTAGATGCAGCTAACCTCATTGAGAGAGATGCGTGTCAGACCTGGGTGGATCCATGCGATCCGCAACACCCAAGCCGGCTATTACGCTCGAGCCATACTGCGATTGCTCAGTCGAACGCTGAGAAATTAGCGGTGCCAACCGCAGATAACCCATTAGTGTTCCATTGACCAACTTGCACAATCTTCGAAGCCTACACACCCTGGAGGGGTGCTAAACTAATCAAACCCGTGCCCAGCACAAATCCACAGACGCACACTGACGCCTCCAGTCTCTAGAGAAGCGATGATGTCCATTCTGAGCTGGAAATGATTTTGCCACACGTGCCCACTTTTGTGCGTAACAAGTGAGCTGACCCGGTTGCGAGCCTTATCGGTGTTCTGCGCGCGCTGGTAGAGTAGTAGACGATTGGCGCCCAGGTGAGAACCTTAGTTCCTTGCCTGGCCGGAGTCTGCACTCTGCCAATCTTGTACAAAGTAGGCACATAGTACCATGCTAGACTCTTCATGTCTCACCGTGTTTCACAAGGGCCATGCATGAAGGTGGATCTTGGCACCTGAACGCCAGAATGCTGATTTTGACCGCCTTTGCCTGTACTCTCGCACACTTCCCACACTCCTGTCGGCTTTGCTGTTGAGGAGAATGCGGGACGTGTGCGACTCCCCTCCCTCGGCTGAGGGGGTCCTGATTAGTGTTTTCTATAGCACTAGCAAGCAATGTCCAGTCAAAGCTCATGCCCATTATCGGCCACAGTTCCTCTGACTTTGCAATTGTGTGTAATGATTGCGACCAGCTGCTGACTGTTTTCCAAGGCCTGAACCACATTGCAAATGAGTAAGGTGATGATTGCTGCATTCGGTGTCACTCCCAGACACTATCATCCCATTTGAAGCCTGCTACTCCAAAGTCGCCCGTGGAGAGGCGACTTTTGCATTCAGCTGGAAAGTCTCTGACCGCTTTGCAAAAACAAGCAGCTGAAGATTTGAAGATTTCGAGAATTCAAGGCCCGTGTAGCTGGTAGTAGTGTCTCTTTTGTTTCACTTGTCTCACCCTTGAGTACAGCGCGAAACTCTGCGAAGTTTGTTTGGGTGTGTTTGGTTGGTTTGTGTTGGGGGTTTTGGTTTTGTTTGTTGTGGTTCTGTCTCCTTTGCTTTGTTGCTGCCCTCTCAAACATGCAGAGTTTCCACCCTTCTTATGATGACCTGTGCACACTGCACACATGGCGTCCGCACTCGTGCAAAAAAGTGTATCCGCAGTCGAGGCAGGGTCTATTGGACTGGGTCTGCTCGCACTCCCGATTGATATGACAAGGCCGGCATTGTACTCCAGGTGTGCCTCTGTAAAGAGAATCATTCCTACCTTGGCATCGCTCCTGTCCTCTTCCCGCGGGTGCCCCACCAGGTCGATCCATTGAGGTTGACTTTTTGCCAGAGAGATGAGGACAAGAGTGTCCCACAACAGTGTCCCACAAGAGTGTCCCACAAGAGTGTCCCACAAGAGTGTCCCACAAGAGTGTCCCACAAGAGTGTCCCGCAACAGTGTCCCACAAAGAGTGTCTCACAAGAGTGTCCCTTAAGAGTGTCCTACAGGAGTATCCCACAAGAGTTTCCTACAAGAGTGTCCCACAAGAGTGTCCCACAAAAGTGTTCTACAAGAGTGTCATTTGGACATATGTAGCTTTTCGAACGTGTTTGCATTCGGGTTCGTGGGCTCCATCTTGGTATTTTTTAAATTCATGTTTGTTCACTGTCTCATGGAGCTGCCTTGGATTGGATTTGTTACATTATTTTATATAGTATTTGCAGCTTTGATCTCGTACAGGTGTTCGCGGGTGTTCGTGGGCTGATTGTAGGAAGTTCGCAGGAGGGTCAACCCTGAAGCCGCCAGTTGCTCAAGGAGAATTGGAGGAGTTGCATTCTTAGCCGATCGAACGCTGTTCATTCCACGTTATCATGTGGGGGATGGAACCATTTTGCTGTCAAAATCAAACATACATACAAGTGCCACATGCCTTTTTATATTTTAGACCTTGGAGGTTTCGTTTTCCGGTCGACGTGACGACCCGTTTCTCTCCTCGCTGGTCGACATGACCGTGAGGAGAGAACCGATGCATGGCTCATGCGGCTCGCAGCCGCTGGTGGCAGCCGCTGGGAAGCAAAATGGTGAGTGGAAACGCGAGGGCCAGACGGCCAGACCTGTTTGGCGCTGTGTGATTCCTCACATGTGTGGAGAGGATAGCAGAGGTGGCACTCAAATGTATAGAGAGAGGTAAATGCACATGTGGACTGCACAAATCCTGTTCTCCAGCGTCACGATCTTCTCATACTTGCCAGTTCTATGTACTGTAAACCCAATGATTTCTTTTGGTCCATCGAACGAATCAACTTTGGACTCATGAGGTGCGCAACATCAACCAGCGATGGGTTGGCTCATAAGGCCGGTTCTCTGACCGAGGGAGCTTTGGCAGGGAGCTGGGTGACTTCAGTTTTGGCACTTTATATGAAGCAGTTTGGGGATGGAGCGTTCAAAGAGCTTGGAATGGAGAATGGGCCAATCATGTTGTTCAATGACTTGGGCTGAAGGTTCACAGTCTTCGGGATTAAGGGTGCTAAGGCTTTGGCATGAAGGCAAGTCGGACGGAGAACGGGTTGAACATTTTGTTCAAAAACTTGGGATGAAGGTTCAACGTCTTTGGTAGGAGGGGTTCAAAAGGCTTTGGCATGAACCCATGTTCAATCTCTATGCAAAGATTTGGGAGGAAGAGTTCACAGAGTTTGGGGTGGAGAACGGGCCAAGAATGTTGTTCAAAGACCTGGGATGAAGGTTCGCAGTCTTCGGGATGAAGGGTGCTAAGGCTTTGGCATGAAGACAGGTCAAACACTTTGTTAAAAGACTTGGGATGCAGCGTCTAAAGGCTTTTGGGTGTCTGCTCCAACTTCATCCAGTCAAATTCCAATGTTGCAATCCTCCCAAGTTTCCACGAGCAGCATGGCGCCTTAATCTGATTCCCTGCAGGCTCTGTGCTACCAACAGCTGGTGTAGCAGAGCTGATAGGCATCCCAACTCAGTCTGTCGGATGAAGTCGCATGATGTTGCAAGACTGAAGTGTTTCCACAGCTGACGTGCTTCAAATCTGGCTCTTGGTTTCCAAGAGAAACACACTTTTCAGCTGCGACTTGAACATTTTGGCATTCCTAGCTGACAAGCGTTCACGTTTCTTCACGAAGCAGTAGTGTTTTGGCGTGTGTCCGTTGCTGTGGATCAAGGGTCATGCTGATGATGACAGATGGCCCCATGGGGTCATGCACCATATCGAATTGCTTGGAA